TTCCGTTTGCATTCCCATGTCCAGATGTTTCCACAGCAAGTGTCATTAAATGTCTCACTCAACTATTCACTACATTTGGAATGCCTGCTTTATAATTCAGTCAGAGTTCTGCTTTCATGAGTCGAGAACTTCGCTCTTTTCTCCAATGACAAAGGTATTGCAACAAGTCGCACCACACCATATAATCCTGCAGGAAAATGGACAGGTTGAACGTTTTAATGGCGCGATATGGAATGGGTGGAGTTGGCGCTGAAATCGAAACGTCTCCCTGTTCAATTGTGGCAAGAGGTTTTGCCTGATGTTTTGCATTCCATACGGTCGTTATTGTGTACAGCCACCAATGAGACTCCTTATGAGCGAGTTTCAAATCTCCAGAAAGATCTAACGTCTGGATGTTCTATTCCATCCTGGATGTCAACGCCGGGACCAGTGCTTTTGAAAAGATATGTCAAGGAAGTCGAAGACCGAACCTTTAGTAGATGAAGTCGAGCTCTGGAAGCAAATCCACAATTATGCTCATGTTCGATTTCCAGATGGCAGAGAAACAACTGTAGCCTCAAAACATCTGGCCCCTGTCGGTTACGAAATTTCGATGAATAGGCAAGGGACAGACAATATCAACCATGAAACATCATTGCACGTTAGAGACGAGTCTTCGATTCAACCTATGTCTCCATCTATCAATCAAGGAAACAATAAAACTCAAACGCAAGAAGATATTGTTGAAAATAATATTGTCTCTAGATCTCCATCGCCTCCAGTTCTGAGGAGATCAACCAGGGAACGCCGAACCGTAGACAGACTAAATCTCTAAAGTGGCGGTGAATGTGATAACTTGGAAATGCAACTCAATGTATCTATTTGTTTATACAGCTGCAGTCAAGCGATGATTGCTGTGGCGTTTTAAATCAGACACCAATCATTGCTGTGCTGTAGATGTAGTGTGTTAATTCTTTCAACTTTATTCATTTAACTATTGAGCCGCTTACTGTTAGCATCAGCAATTCGATACGTATTTGTTTTCTTGTTTAATAACATTCGCTCGTGTTATATTATTTTAGATTCATTCTAAGAGTGCTTTAAATTTAAGTTGAATAAAGCCTTATATCAAGGTACTATATTTCTCATTCATTACAAGTACCAGTAAAGAATTTTAGCATAGTCTATCACAGCTATTTCTACACTAATTTTTTGAAACTGCAATTAAATGAAAACTCCTAGGAAGACAGGGTAATCATTGAAATATCTGATTTATATTTAAAAAACTCAAAAATGAGGTAATGTTTACGACCACGCTTGAAAATCTGTCTGAGTGAGAAAAGTGTTTGAGCGGAAGCGGAAAGGGAGAATTGTTACGTCACTTTATGCATCTTGCTGATTGGCCAATGTCACGAAGTAAACAAGGAAGACGATGCCCGGGGAAAGGTCCATGGGATTTACACTGTATACAAAATTTAGTCAAAACAAGTTGAAGTCTCACATTTTTATTTCAACATTTAACGAACGAATTCAAAAAGCAATATCGGCGAATCATTTGCGCATAAAGCAAGCATGAAATAAAAACTTAAAAAACTGCAGAAACGATTCCCTGAGAATAACTCATTGTTCCAATTCCTCAGGCGTGGGAAGTCATAAAACAATTGCGAACTTCGACAAAACAAAGTCTCACTTTACACTTTAAACAGCTGGTATTTGTTTGATTGCGTTCACACAATTTGCATCTTCCCCTTTTCTCAATTTTCTTTGGCCAGTGTGCGTATTTGTCTCGGCGGATATCTTCACATGGGCCTCGGATAATTACCATTGAGGGCTGCAAATTTCTTCAACTTTAGACGATGGTCTCCCGCGACGGTGTTAGTATTGACAATAAATCAAAGTACTTGTGACTGCTGCTTGAAATGTCGCCGTTTCATAATATATGACGTTGGAAGACGGAGCAGGCACAATCACGAACGGTACCACGAGCCAGGCATTCACAATATCCACTATTTTATATGCCAAAAGAGATAAAGGATACCATATTTTTGGTTTCATTCGAATCTGTACTTTGCAAGAAATGAATCCAATTTATTAATAACTCCCATAAACTTATTGTATTCTTGCACGATAGCAGGCACATGCTGTTTTGTTCGTCTGTCCCCATCGTCTGATTTGATCAATTGCTCCACTCCTACGTACGAAGATAGTAGTGACACTGCCCTGTTGTCATACCATCTTACGGCTATTAAGTTATTGTTTTCCTCAACTCTGAATTCATATTCCCCCCTGCCTTTTTCTTTAATGTTTTTCCATCGTCCAGGTTATAGCTGGGTAGGCGTTTTTTTTCTCACGGTCCCAACACATTGCATTCCTCTCTCTGATAATTTTTGAATGAATGGAAAGCTGCTAAAAAGGTTATCAGCAAATATCTTGTAGTTTGCATGGTATGGCAATGTTGATGTCAGCTTGAGAAAAACGTCCGCACCTTGTCCTAACTCTGTGCGTTCACCGGTACCACCCTGGTAAAGATCAAAGTCGTATAGAATTCCACTCATATCCGCCTTCCCCAGATCTTAAAACCCCAGGGATGAGGCTTACTCTTCAGGTACTGACGTATGGAACTTGTCGTGCCTTTATACTGGCACATCATATCGTCAACAGAGTTGTATTCCTCGGCTGTAACCTGTAAGCATGCATCTCTGAACATTGTTAGCCATGGACAAATCTTCCATAGCTTGTCAGAGTGTTTTTCGTTGTCAGACACAGTCAATTGTTTACAAAATGCAGAATTCTCAGCAATGTTTGAAAGCGGTTGCGAGACATCACTCCACTCACTGGTTCAAAAATGTTGAAGTTTCCCAATACATTTTAACACTGGGGCATCTGCACTATACCATGTGCAAATACATTCCTAATATCTGCTCAATTTCCTTTTTGTTTGTTTTCCCCCAAAACCATTCTTTTGAACAATGTAGAGGTTAGTTTGTTCTGTCAGAAGTTGCAGCATTTCCTCTGTCACAACACCTCGGAAATAACGCAATGGCGTATCTACAATTATGTCAGCTGGAGGATCCAATTGGGGGCCGGAGAATGTTGCATCAGGTCTGTCGAATTGTTTCTTTCTCCACCGAAACTCATTGCGGTCGGTTGCATTTTCTATTTGGCTTTGTTTTTGGTTCTGCACTCCTAGACTCGTCAAAGGAATGTCGTCGTCAGAACTTTCAGACTCGACCTGTAAAATGAAATATCACGAAATGAAAACAAAGACAACAATATTATTTATTGTTTCGATCAATGAGTGAGAAAGATATTTGTCAGAAACTATTTTCGGTGTCTGTGAGCGATAATTGATCGTGAGAAGAAACTATGTAATCAATATTTGAAAATATTATGAACCTGGGAGCTGTTGTTTTCGTCTTTTCTGATATCGTATTCACTATCTGACCCACTACTAGTGCCTCCAGCATCATTATCATCACAGTTGAAAATGACAAGAATATCATTAGCATTATACACTCTTGCGATTCTAGTTCCCCGCGAGCTGCTTGACACAATCGATGCCATGTTCTGGAAAAAAATTTAGAACAACGCGAAAAGCGAACAAAAATTTTGATGAAAATCTATATGGATAACATTAGTCTTTTAACTGTTTTTGTCTTTTTTATCATTGAATCCGTCAACAAAGTTCTGTCAGGTTTTGATCTGGTTTTATCTTTCACAGATGACACCGTGGAATGGGTAGGATGGGTATATATTGATCATTCCCTGATATGCATAAATGTGATGATGGAAATAAATTTCAGCTGCTTGCATGTGTCGAGATAGCCTTTTGTATAATCATTGACTCTTAAAAAAAGTTATTTCTAATTGGTTTGATTAATTTTTTGAGCAGAGCCTTGTGTTTCTGGGTTGAATTATTAACAGAAATTGCTGCTCTACCTATGCATTCCAGATTGTTGTCACATTCACAAAAGCTGCAGTGCGCAAATCACTGGCCCTTCGTTTCGTTCGACGCCGTTGAATTCTTTCTCATAATCATCACAGCAAATTTTTTACGTTTACTCATTTTATCTCTTTTGAAGTTCCAGATCTAAACTAAATTCAAAGTTTAATTTACTGGTATATTCATTTATAAGGTTAAAAATAAGGACACACGTCAAAATAAAGATGTTTCTTAGGACAAAAACATTTTCTAAAGACCTTCAAAATAAGGACAAATTCTAAAAATAAGGACGTTGTGGCAGCCCTGATTATAGGTCAAGTGGAGAAAAAACTTCTGTGAAAGCTACAATACTTGAGATGGAGTGAGACCAAAATGCTGTGCTACTAAGCGTTTTTTTTATATTTATATAAAGTGCAAAGTATTCATTTTCGTCACCACTTTACCTACATCTGACTGACATTTTTTGCAATGCATCGCAATTTTGATGCCTTTCTTTCTTTCGACAAGGAAGTTGTCACATCATCCTGGTCATTTGCAAGACAGACTGTGTCTTCATTTTCACAATTATTTGTTCATTTTTATCGCATTTCTTCGTCCTTCAGCAAATATTTCGATCAGTCATCAATGAACAGGGCTAGTTTTCGAGCTGTGATGCAGGAGCGTCGTCGTCGTTAAGCATCTAGTCTGAACAAAACCAACCGTGACGCCAGCCACTTGGAGGTGCAAACATCGCCTTTGTTTGTTTATTATACGGCGAGCGCCGAGCGGAGTTGGACATCTAGTAGTAGTATATATTTACGGATTAGTTAACTGCCGCAAGCTAGGTAGACTTCATCGCGAAATGTGATGATGGCATTTGGTTGCGTTGAGGATGTCATAGCTTAGAAATAAAAATATATAAAGGAAAAATCCGTGCGCAAAGCATGCTGTCTCAAATCTTGAAGGGATTGTAATATTTCCCAGATATCCGGTTTTCATTCGCTTCTCTAAAAACTGACTCACTAGTTCAGAACAATACCAAAGAAAACTCACAAATGATCGAATCAATGTTTATTATCATGTTTGGTTATATACAGAAATCACATGGAGACAGCTATGAATTTATTTACTGAGCAAATACGTTTCAATAGACAAGGCGACCAGTTCAAGGCATGGGTTATACGGTTATTAATATAATAATAGTAAAGAAACAATGTATAAGTAAGCAGTGGCAGGATTCAAGAGGTTCTCGGAAACCGTTATAATTTTATTGTTGGTTTAGTTCAGCACGACTCTATTAATGAAGGAACCCGTTGTTAGCGAGTTCGATCAAAAAAGAACACGTTCTTAGATTTTTAAATCCCGCCACTGAAAGTAAGTAATATTGGGTGAAGCAAGTTTTATTTATTAAGACCAGCATACTTGTGTGGCTTTGTTTATCATAATCACAGGTCGACTTCAGTGTGGAATGAAAATGCATAAAGATTCAATTTTCATAAACACGTAATTCAGTCTCCTCCCATAATTAAATCAGGTTTCAATGCTTGACAAACAGACTTTGCAATATATGCGATTTAGTAAAATTGAAGAGTAATTTAAGATTAGATCGTTCATGAGCATCCTATAAATTTTGCATAATCAGACATGGACCTATCATAATTAGAACATTCAGAACAACGGCCATAGAAAAGCGAACAAAAATTTTAATGAAAATCTTTATAGATAACAACAGTCATTTAACTGTTTTGTCTTTCACATCATTGAATCCGTCAACGAAGTTCTGTCAGGTTTTGATCTGGTTTTTATATTTCACAGATGACACCGTGGAATGAGGAGGATGGTGGATCATTGAACATTCCCTGATTTGCAGACTCTAGATATTTTCTAATACGAACACCAACATTTGTACGGAATGTATCGGATATCGGAAAATTAGGATACCACACTTCTGTTGCTATAGTGATTGGTATTCCATTGGATAGCAAAAGCTGATTGTTCTGTCACAATTGAATAAACAGTTTTAAAATCTATTGCTTGAAATGATAATGCAACTGACATATTAGATGAAGAATGAAAATATTTGCGTGTAGGAAAAGACTCCATAGTAAAGGTAATAGGGGGTAACGTTACATAAAAATGGGTAAAAAGCAGAAATTAATGAATTAAAAATGCTAAAATATTTGGAAATTAAAAAAACGCGATCTGACGACTCGGATATGACGTCATAATGTCTTGGAAATCATGTTTAATATTTTTAATTTTTATTAATCGCCCGAATTAACAATAAGGCATCGTTTACCTGCCCATCATTTGATACTTTTAATAATAAACCGCTTTTGGAAAGTTGTACCCAAAATGAAGTTTACAAAAATGAGTCAAACTCTGCTGAGATTGTGATCTATCAACTCACCTTATACTCCATCACAGTCCAGATATTAATCCATGTCCTACCACTAGCAAGAATCAGTGAACGTAGATAAGGGAGCAGCAACTGGTAATGCTTGAGGTCGTAAATATTCGCGGGTTTTCCGTTCTTTGATTTGCAGATTGCTTCGGCATCGGTGAAGGTAACGTTCTGTACATCATACACAATTGCTCGGTAGCATTTTTTCTTGTATGTGACGTCACACTTATCTGAAAACATTATTGTGGTCATTAAATATTTAATTTTAAAAAATGACACTTTCAGAAATGACGTCATAGAATCTGGGAATAAAAGTCGGTTTTTTAGTTCAATTCAACTTCCTCCTGAATTAATTCTAGAGAGAAAAAAGGCGATAAGACGAACTAAGAACGGCGGAATAGATTGTTCAGAAGTATGGCGGTGGACGGAGTCGTAACCGTCTAGTGGTGGGGTAAATCACGCAGCGACGACCCGGAGTCCAATACTTGTAATATTAGGTAAATTAAATTTATTTTTAAACCCACGCGACATCCATTTCTAGCGCTTGGCGGGTGTGGCATATTTTGTAGTCAAATTATCAAATCACAAAACACAAATATAAATTACTTTCAGCCTTTATCTTCTCATCACGACTCTTCTTAATTAATCTGACGATATCTGTAAGGAAATTGATTCATTTGTGAGTAAGGAAAGGCGTTTTTAAATCAGTCTTGCCTTGTTATTTTTTCTCGTATGATATTAAATAACTTTAACTAACCAAAATTTGACATCAGCATATAAAAGCGTTGTTGATATTTTTTGTTCAGCAAAGTCCAGATCTAGAATTTCTCTATACTGATATATAATTTTAGTCACAAAAATCGTTGTGAATGAGTTTTGCCAAACTTTTTGCAAGATTGAAAATAACAGGCAATTGAAATGCAAAGCCAGAAAATTTTTAGAAAGCGGAGTTTCACCAAATAAGAGCCTAATTCGGAATTAAAAGTCTTAATTGAAAACTGTTACTATTGGACAGGTTATTTTGAACCCGTGCGTAAATATGAATCAAAGTCATATGTTTAGTGCAGGGTAATTATTGTTGAACCCAAAACATATCATAGAGTAGGAAGAACTCACCGGATCCATCGTTTTTCTGTGAAATAAATAAAAAATGAAAATGATTGGTAAAGTAATTATAACACGTAAGTTGTATCAGATTTTATTAGTTGCGTGACATGCATGCAGAAGTCGGATTTAAAATTGTTTACGCGATTCAAAAATTTTTACCTCGCAATCCCCAACTTGAACGAGTTTCCCATTCACGATCTTGGAAACGCAGGCTCCAGCTGTCAAAAATAAAACGTAAAGTTAAATATAACGACATCTTGCGCCAATTGCGATACTGATAGAGAATGATATTAATAAATGATTTAGGAATCTCCGGTATTGTAGCATTCTTGGTATCAGAAACCAGACATGCAATTCAGTGTTACAAAATATAACAGTGATTTTATCCAAAACAAATCTTACCGGGTACTTTTTGCTTCGCATACAATCCATAGATGAGAGAGATAAACAAAATAATTTTGACGAAGTCCATGTTTATTTCTAGAAAGGCTTGATGACACAACTAAAGGCTTAGTTATAAAGTGAATATCTGTAAAAATACTTAAGGCTTTTATATGTTCGGTGCCGCCATCATTAGATGACTAAATTGAGATTTGCTACTCCTGCTAGTCCTCATATTTCAAGTCTTATCAATAATATGTTACTGCGCATTTTATCACCGTTTAATCCTGAACCCGTCTTCGCGTAGCAACCATCATTTACGTCATTTCCTCTGTCACATTGAAATTCATTTTGCTTGGCGACAAAAAGTGATAATGAATCACCCATCATGCGAAGAAAACCAGGTGCATCCATCCGGAGCGCCCATTAGTTTGATATTGAAGCCCGCACTCGATCGAAACAAGGAAATATTCTGGTCTTATGGTACAGGCACAGGCAATTTGTGTCTTTAGAAATGGCTGCCAATTAAACCCCCTAGATATGCCATAAAATTTCTACAAAATAAAAAAATTAAGATTTTCGATTTCATTTTGCATTAGAACGGGCTTTCAGCGTCAGATTTTATGAATTTTTGTGGTAAAGATGTAAACTTCTCATGGAAATACCCCGAAAATCAATTAATTTTCAGTGATCTTTGACCCAGAAAAAATCTTGTGGAAAAAGACGCAGTAACATTAATAATATTTAAGGAAACGATTTAGGCTATTAGTTGGTGAGCCACCTAAATAATTCCAAGTCTACTGGAACTCAAATGTTCTTTCAATTTTAATTACTCTTCTCGTAAAGTTGATTGAATTACGCATGATCCAACGAACTAACCTGAGCGAACCACAAATATCAATCATACACTGCAGACCTGGCAATCACTCTGACGATCTTTTACTAGAACTTCTTTACATCACAACTACCAGATTTACACATTCCTGTCTCTATTCAATTTATAACTGCCATATGCCATAAAATCTCTACAAAATATAAAATTAAGGTTTTGGAACTCTTTTTGCATTATGATCGGGCTTTCAGTGTCTGATTTCAAGAAGCTTTGATTTGGGTAAAGATGTGAAACTTCTCGTGGAAACAATTCGGAAATCAATCAATTTCCGACGACCTTTAACCCGGAGAAAATCTCTGATCATTCCATTACTGATTCACCAAATTTCCACGATTGACATCTGAATATCTGTTGCGCTGGAAATATTTAAGAATAAACGAGGAAAAGAGACCGATAGGACGGTATACAATAAATTATCTTCCAGGCCTCCACGGGTAACGAGCCCAAGAAGAGGAATCAGAGGTGCGATGCGCGTATTCATAACACAAAGATTAAAACAATGCTGCGAGTTGCATAATGTCGACTGAAATATTTTACCAGCATCAAGAGTTAATAACAAATTCCGACTAACAACTCTAACCAGAACCACGACGCCCTAGGAAACATTTATTATAGTGAGATTGTCAAAAGTCTTACCAGGTAAATTTTTCTTTCCGAAAGAGAAACTGATAAGAAAGAAAAGGCGGAATACTTTGACAAAAATCATATCTTACTTATAGTTCGCCTGCTAAATGCTTAATTCTAGAATTTCTGTAAGGAGGAATCAAGGTTAATGGCTGATTAGCAAAGCTGTGGGATGTCTTCCTCGCAAAGAATGGCACAAAATCACGACCCAAAAATTTTTGAATCGCTCCTGCCAAAAGGAAGCAAATGTATGAACACTTGAACTTCGGTTTGTGCATATATATACCCGAATGCTTCATTAATCCTGGAACGCTTTGCGCAACGGATGTACGTTTGTCCAATGTGATTTGAAACATATTCTACAGAGAACTGTTGTGCAAAACGTCCTGGATTCATATTGTACTTCAAATCCGTGTTTTGCTCATAGAAAAGGTTTCGAACTTCCTACTGCAAGAATCAAATGTTTCTGCTTCATTTTAGTCCTATTCATGTTATGCTTAGCCTGCCTGGTTTCACAAATGTTTTGTAGAATTTGAGCATAATTAACAATTTTGAACCTAAAATCATTTTCAATACAACAGTGTTGAATGTCATTTATACAATTACGTTTTGAAACCCTAATCTCCTATAATAAGCAATCGCTCACATGCTGATTTTTAGCGAACTAACCTGGGGTCTAACAATGAACCTCTAACCTGCACTGCCAGTATGAATATAACACTAGATTAAAATCTAATTCATCCTATTACAGAAAATCCAAACTATACGCTTGCATTTTACGTTTCTGGTCTTATGAATTTGATGATCGTTACTGCAGCAGTCGGCAGACTTTATGTAATGCCGAGCCAAATATACATATTTCCGGTACCGTGCGCTCCACGTTAATTTCCGCTTATGAATAATCGCTAGACTAAACTTTCAGTTATGACACACGATTTCTATGTCTGTGTTACTCATGACTAACGGTAGGCGCGTTCTGCACGAATGGCATGTGATTTCGCTCACACTAACTATTCAAACTAACGAAGTATATTACACAATATATACAAAAGAAACGGCAAACAGTTAGAGATCAAAATAACAGTCAGAAGGCTAGCACAAAGGCCATCACTCCGACATTGTTGTGGCAAATTGGATTCTATTTAATTTATTAAGATTTTTGGCTTTGACCGCTCATACGAAGTGAACTTCGTTTGCAAGACTCGAATTTTTGAAAGTCAAATATGCCGAAATATAACGCAAATTGGTATGTCCCGCAAATGACGTGGCACAGAAAACTCGTCGGAATAATTTTGCATTTGGCGAAAGTAAATTATTGCGTTTTGTGTACTTATTTTGAACAAAATGCCATTTTTTATTGGGCGGTTCATTTGGCAAACGCTGCAGTTTAGATACATACCAATATCTTCAAATAATACTGTTGCAATATTAGAAATTACAGTAAACTTAACGGATCAAGGTCAAGGTATACTGGGTTTCTGTGACGGACCAAATGAAATAACGCATACCAGGCTATTTTTTTGTCACAAATCATTTATATTTCATAATTTATGTGCGCCCCCGGTTATATCTGAAAAAAAAAATTGAGG